TATTGTTATTGTTATTGTTATTGTTATTGTTATTGTTATTGTTATTATTGTTATTATTATTATTATTATTATTATTATTATTATTATTTGTAAATATGTGGCTTCATAGATTTTTAACATTTGTGTAATATTTATCATGAATACATTTTTTATTTATCATGAAATATTTTTAGCACGCATTTTCAAAGCCTGGTGTTTCTGTGTGTATCTGAGTTTGTGCATTTGTTAGTGTTATTTGTTATTATATGAAGCCACATGTCATGTTGGCGGTGTAATTGTGCAGTGTGGTTATAGAGACACACACTTTGTGCCACTGATGAGGGTAAAAGTAGGTACAGTCCAATTTCTTATTTCAAAGGTCACTAGTTGTTTTTATGATTGAGTGTATGTTAGATAACACCTCAGTGTCACTATTGTTTATGTTAATTATTGAAATGTTTAGTTTCTTACTGATTTTTAGTTCATATTAAATATGAGATAATTTTTTTTTTTTTTTTTTAATGGAAAAATTCTAAATGATCTCCTTTCTTATATATTTCATTAATAACTAACACAGATCATATGCTGAAGAGGTATAATTTCAATGAATGATATATCTAGTCAGCAAGTCAGAGTTTGCTTCAGGCCATAATGAAAGAAATACATACAGTAGAGGTATACACTTGCTGTCATGTTATTGGTGCTTCAGCGTACAAGTACCCGAGATAGAGTGCCTCTTCTTGTCATTGTGTTAAAGTTATTGGTTGCTTGTATTGACACTTCTTTTACCATCTGTATTTATTGGAGGCTTAGAACCCCCCCTTAGGGAGGTAGTTGTCTGTGATGACATGACCAGTAAAGACTTCATCTCATGATTTGAAGGGTGCTGTGGTGCTGGTCGATTTCTTGTTTGGAGTCCATGTCTTGCCTGTCCTATATTACCTTGTTGCATGCATTGTAAGATATATTATACACCTATCTGAGAGGTCTGCTATGGCCTAACCCCTTGACATTGCTAGTCTTTTTTGAAGTGTTGGTGATCTTGCAGGGCATCCAGGTGCTTAGTCAACTTTGAGTGTTATAAGATAAGTGTCTGATGGCTGTCCTGTGGTTTGTCATTTTTAAGTCTTTTCTTAATCTGCTGCTGTGAGACTTCCTCCTCTAGGAACTCTGGGCTGCAGATCCAGAGATTACAGAAAAATAAGCTGATGTATCGTACATCAATTTCACCCCTTTAGATTATTGTTTAACTCATGAGTTGATAGATATTTCTGGCATATAGAATTTTGTTTCATTTTCAATATTTCTGTTTTGGAAAACTGATTTTTTTTACATTCATGTTGTCATGTTTTATTCTAAATATTTTACACTAACCTCATAAAAACCTCTTTTATTGAAAACAACCAATTCATTGTTGTGAAACTTCACAGTTCCATAAATCATAATTATGTCCCTCATTTTCTTCTTTCCTTAAATGTTGTGTATAATTTTCTTTGGTGCTTCTTTGCAGTTCAGATCTAGTGGTTGCTTATTGAAGTTGTTCCAGCTTATTTATGATTTTAATGATATGTTAATACTGCTTCATCTTACTTGTACTGATGGAGGGGTTGATTTTCTATCTTTGTTTTTGGTTACATAGCATTTGATGGTGTTAAATTCTATATTTTGGGTATAACTCCAGGCAAGTTTTTTGTTCTTTTACTATTTGGGATGAAGCCTTGTTTGTTCACTTTGTATTTTTGCATTGTTAGATAGCTGTCTAGGCAAATGTTTGACTGTAGATCATTGATGGAAATATCCATTGACTGGTGTCAAATTTCACTGTTACTTCACTCTATTTAGAGAGTACAGTTTATATGTATCTTTCAATATGTGTATAATTTGTGAATATGTGTGTGTGTGTGTGTGTGTGTGTGTGTGTGTGTGTGTGTGTGTGCGCGTGCGTGCGTGCGCACGCGCATGTTTGCATGTTTGCACAGTTTGTAATGATTTTCTACATAGTCTGTGGATAGATGAGGTATCTGCTTTTTATAGAAAGATCCAGCTGAAGTGTATACTTAATACATTTTTGGGCAAATTCTGAAAATCCTTTCATAGCATGTAGAGGACGTCTCAGGCTCTTCTCCCCCCTCTTTATATCTCCTGTCATTTTGGCATTCCTATGATAGTAGATAAATCCACAAGAGATATTATTTTCCTGATGTCAGTGTTCTTCTACTTTGCAATCTACCTCTTTTTTCAGACCATCCCTTGCATCCTTGGATGAAGAAGGTAAAGGGTGTGATAATGACAGTACCACCTCCCTTACTGTACATGGGTATAGTACATGTGGTACCCTGTCATCATCTGCTGGTGAGGAGAGTTCTCATTGTGAGGGATCCATGGAAAACAATTCTTCACAATCTTCAGGTCTTGCAGAATCTACAGAAATCTTGGCCTCTCATTCTTTGGATTCACTAGAAGGCAATGACAAACCATTGTTTGTCTTTGCATCACAGTCGAGTGCGAAACCAGAAAATAAGGCAGATGGGACTGAAGCTGAAATATTTCACATTAGTTCAGGAAACCCAGATGCTGATGCATTACATCATAGCTCAGCACAAGAAATCGGCCTTGTCTCTAGAGTTGAGGCATCATGCGATAGCAGTGACAGTGCTCTGCACTCTGACTCATATTGCAGAACATCAGAGGAGGGATCATCTAGGAATACTGAAGAATTAGGACCCAGTGAAATGGAAATGTCTGAATCTGAGGTTGACACACCAGAGGCAGACCTTCAGATGAGCCCTAAAGCCCAAGAGGAAGCAAAGACCCCACCAAGTTCTGTAGTGGAAGATGCTGAAAACTCTGAGATTGAAGTCAGAGATACAGATCCCTGTGATGCAATTGTTAGTCAGGAAGCACCTTGTAGTGATGAAAGTTCTCAGGTTGGCGATGGGCATCTAATTGGAGAACAGGATAATGTATACAATGCAGATCAAGAAATACAGAGTGAATGTTATGAGGATAATTCTAAGAGTAGCATGGTAAACAGCACTGGAAGCATTGTAAATGAAAGTGCAGACCATAAACATGTAGATTCTCCAAACAAGGAAGAAGATATTGAGGGCTGTATGTCACAGACGTGTAATGAGAGTTATAACGAAACAGTTGCTTATAAGGGAGAAGAGAGCCCAGAGACTGAAAAGAAAATTAACATTTCTGATAACTTGAAAGATTTGAAAGCAGTTACCCAAGAAAACCTATATGTTAATGATGTGCAGGAGACGCTATCATCATTAGAGGAAGGAAAGATAGATCATTTAGGCCCAGAGACCTCTCTTTCGAAAAGTTATACACAAATGGAAGGTCATGCTCATGAACTATCTCATACCAAAAAGCTAGTTAAGCCACGTGAGAGTTACTACAGTAGTCTAGAAGTTATTAATGTGAACGAGGCAAATATTTTTGATGAATTCATTATAGAAGAGAAAAGTTACCCACACGAGCTTGAGCAAAAATGTGCCACTGATAAAAATGTTTTCTCACGTATTAAAGATCATTGGAGTAGATCAAGCTTGAAAAAATACTCCTCTAGTACATGTGAATTTCTTTCTGAAGGTAGTGACTCTGTGTTCACAAATAATCCTTCCTCAGGTTCTGATATGTGCTTGATCAGCGGTTCTGAAATGGGGAGGAGCATTCCAGATACTCCCTCTTTTAGAAATTCAGAAGGGGATGATTCAGTCTTTCTTCATAAAAAGGACGCTGACAATGTTGCATGTGCCATAGATCAGCCTAAAACAGAAAAAGAGGATTCATGTGAAGCACATAATTCTGTTTCTCCTGTCACACCTCCACCAAAAGGACCACTTATGAAAATAGAGGCAGATCAAAAGTTTACATTTACTGTGACACCACCTCCACCTTCCTTACTTTCTCTGCGAAAAATACTTCCGCATTCACTGACTTCATTTACTTCATCTTATTCATCTTCATCTCAGAATTTAGGAGAATCAGGAATTGATAGTTATGGCCCTGCCAATAGAGCAATTATTTTCTCACAGTCAGTCGATTCTACAGCTTCTAATGTTGATGTTCAGTATCTGTCTAATTGTACTGGTGGATCTGGAGATATTCATGTGAATAATGGTCCTGTGTGTCACTCTCATGAAGGTTCAGTGTTTAACTACATGTCAAAAGATGATCTGGATTCATCAAGTGATAATGGGTCAGATGGTGAATCTTCTCCAGATCAGAAGTTCAATGATACTATAGAAGAGATGGAAATGATGCTCAAGTATGGCCTCAATTATGGAGAAAAAGCCAAATCAGAAAGTGATGAGGCCAAGGAAAAAGTTCCATCATCTGGGGACTTAGACAGCACTGAAAGGAAAACATATGTAGAGCTTTCTGGGGTAGATGATAATGATGAATTTGAAAGCATTGTAAGCCCACGGAAATCAAGTGTAGCAAGCACCATTTCAAACTTTCAACCAAATATGGACTCAACACGATCTTCTCTCAGGGAAGATGTTGAGAAGCCTAAAATTTTTGTTCAGAGTCCCGAAACTTTTGAAATGAATAAGGTCAGGTCACCATTAGTCATTTCAAACAAGAAACAGAAGGAAGCACCACCTAAACCACCAAGGAATTTAAATTTGCAAAATGTGAATGTACAGAAGCACCCAGAGGAAGCCCATGCCAAAATGCAGAAAAGAAGCCCAGTCTCTAAGCCTGTGAGCATCAGTAGACTTAAACCAAGTCCGCTTTCATTAACGCCAAAGGTTTCAAAAGTAGACGCAACTAAAAAGGTTGTGAAGCAGTCAGGACCAAGAGTGGTAAATGAGCCAGGCTTATATAGATCAGGCTCTCTGACAAATATATATAGGACATCAAAAGTGGTAGAGTCACCTGTTAGAACTCCAGTACAATCAGTTACAGGTTTCAGATCTCAGCCAAATTCTCCATTGACAAAAACTGTCACCTCTCAGAAGAAAAACTCACCATCAGAACCCTCAGTAAGACTGAACAGTGGCAGGACTGGCCTTCCACCACGGCCTCCGGTTGTTAGAGCCAATATCAAGCCAATATCAAGTTTACCAAGTCATCAGATAAACAAATTCTCCACACCACAGGGGAAGAGTACAAGAACCAAAATGCAAGTGTCTTCAGCAAGCAAGATCCATTCTCCATCAATGAAAAATCCAAATAATCTGAGGTTCAAGCAAGGTATGAGTATTGTTAGTCCTGTTGCGAAATACCTCAAGGAAAATCCTCCTCCACCCTTGGTTGTGAATATCAAGCCAAAGCACAAAATCAGTCCAGTCAAAATCCAGTCAAAGAGCCCAGGTTCGCCTCACTCTCCACTTGCTAGAAGCCAGAATTCGCACCAGCGCCTGGCTAAAAGAGTTCATCAAGATGATGCAGATGTACAGAGGAAAGTAGCCCTTAGCAAGATCCAGGGTGACCTTGATAAGTTAGCCTCCAAGATGAATAATGCACAGGTGAATATATAATTTTTTTTATTGTGATATATTACAGAAGATTGTTAAAGTAGTGCTTGTGCATTCCTTCCTTGAATATACTTTTCAAATTATGAAGTATTCCTATTTTTATTTTTCTACATGCTTTGTTGACTTTTTTTTATTTTGATAATTTACAATCCTTTATATCCCATAGGCCTCATCAGCTTTCTTTTTAGTCTTTAAAAGCTTTTTTTTCAATTTCATTTGCCAGTAACCTTTTATCTTTGTCTTCTTCTACAGCAGGTTCCTTTTCATGTCTTATCTTTATTTATTTTTCTGTCTTTTTATTTTCTTACCTTGTCTCCCTCTTCAAATTTGTTTTTTCTTAATTTTATTTAATGTTCACAGATTGAGTCTGGTGAGGATGGGACCTTAGAGCCAGCTGATGGGACTAGGAAACAGGTCCTTCCAAGAGCAATGTACACTTCAGCTCCTGTTGTTGTGGTGAGTAGGTGAAGGATACACCATGTGCTTGAATTTATTCATTTTTTGTTAGTATTTGGGAGGGAGAGGAAAAGAACAGAGATAAAGACTAGTAATAACTCTTTAGTGTTTGTACTTTATAAATAGGACTTACATACCTTAGTTCCTGAAGCATACTTTTGTTGAACTTGTTTACTGTGAAAGAGAGAAGAAAAGAAAAAAAAATGATGTAGGGAAGTAAAAATGTTAATGCAAAAAGCAACCAAACATCAATAATTATTTTCACAGTTTCTTATAGTAACATTGTGTTATTGGCATTATATTTTTAACATTTTTATATTATTGAATTTGCAAAACAATGTATCAAAAGAGTGATAGACTGCATTATGCTAAAAAAATGAAATGCAAAACACACACACTCTCTCTCTCTCTCTCTCTCTCTTTCTCTCTCTCTCTCTCTCTCTCTCTCTC